TAGGAGAAATTTCCTACATCCTCCTTCTCCCGTGACCCCCCCCCCCAAAGGAATTAAACAATCTAAAAAGGGAAGAAAATTCAGAGCTCGTCTCGGAAATGAGTATGTGAACAGTTCAGAACAATTACCAAGTATAAGGGCCTAAAAGTTTTAAGACGACTGTAAGAAAGCTCAGACAGAAATTTTGAAAAGCTGCAGCAAGTAACTCAACAAAAAGGATATGTGCACATCTCTTTGCTTTAGGAAATTCAGAAAAAAATATATTAAAATTACCTGAGGAGGATGTTGACCTTGGGGAATCCTTCCCATTTTTCTCTGCATTCTGGACATTCATTCTTTTTAGAAGACAACCACCAGAAGGCTAAGCAGTGTCTACAGAAACTATGCCCACAGTTCAAGGTAGTGGGATTGATCAGAATATCATAACAGCAGTGGCAAGAAAATTCACTAATTGAAATCTGGCGGTTGATCTTGGGAGCAGCATTTGATCTAACTTTCTCTCTCTCAGCTTCAGTTTCTAAAGTCACATCTTCCTCCATTTCCCCTTTTTTCAGGCGATTAGAAAGCTGTCTCCAAGTGCTTAAATCATGTAAAGTGTTAATAATTCTGCAAAACAATGCAAGAAGCCATTATTTTACTACCTAACAACACCAAACAATAGAGAAATATTAGATGCAATAGAGCAAGAATATAAGACAGACACTTTCTAACCCTCCCCTCCAGTTAATCATTTATCTAATGGACGACTATAGCATTAGTAGCACCACCTTCCTCCAAAAATACAACTACTACAGACAACTCAAATGCAAGTTTTAAATGTAAACAGTTAGAACGATAACTTTTCCTTAGTTACTTTGATGTGAAATAATTATTAAAAGTCTCAATAAGCATGTGCTGAGACCATATATATTTATCAACATTTAATAAATAGTTAAAACACTAACTCACTAAGCCAAAAATCAATACAGGTTTAATTTTAACCGATGATACCACCAGTTGGCATAATCTAGACCTAAGTTATTCTAGCCATTTTCATCTTGCGTGTTCCCAGACGAAGCCCCAAACCAGCTCTGCAGAAGCAGACTCCTTGATTCAATGGGGTCCTGTGTGGCAGCTGGCTTGTACCCATGAATGAAGAATGGGAACCTGAACTGGCTCCCCCAGCAGGAATTAGTTGATCACAGTGCTCCTGGATACAACTATAGTTTCCTACCGTCTCACCAACAAAAAACACCAAAAGCTTATTCTCACATTGAGTCCCCACTAAACTTAATCTCAATAGAAAAGATCTATGAGCGTTTCAGAAAGTAAAACAGACATTTTAAAATAAAGCCATTACTGCACACAATGCTAAGTAAGGAAACTACACAGCAATAAGGTGACGGTGCTGTCGAGCACACCCATCGCTTGTGACTACGTAGAAACGATGCGGGCCAATGCAGAATCAGAGCAGGCAAAATGGTTTTGTTTTGCAACTGCCATTACTTTCTGAAAGGTCCCATTTCTAGAGAAGGAACAGGCCTCAAACAGCCTGTCTGGTTACCACTCCTCTCTTCCCTCACTCTTTGAAGAGGCAAAGGTGCGGGCTTATCTCCTCCCTTGTCTCTCTAAAGCACCAGCGGTCTTGCTCTGTCCTGGGCGCTCCCGTGCCGAGCTCGGCAGGCCCCGCTCCCGGAGCCCGCCTCGGCCTGAGAAGCAGCAAGCGCAGGCAGGCACTTACCCGGCCAGCATCCGGAGCCCATGAGCGGCTCCCCTGCGCTTCTTCGCCCGCGGATGCGGCCCGCGGCGGGTTCCTGTGACGGACAAGCCCAAACGTTACCGGAACAACACGCGGCAGCGAGTTTCCGCCCGGCCGCGTCCTCCCCCCTGCCTGCGGAGCCCAGGCGCCACAATTGCCTCACAGGCCCCCGCCCCCACGCCGGGGAGGCCGAGCCCCACGCCTCTTCTGCCCCCGTGCCGCGGCCGAGACCCGG